CATAAAACTACATTTAAAGTATTCATGAAACATAAATCAAGAGAGAAATGGCTTGCGAAGGGGACAAGAATTTTAAATATTTCACATGTAACTAACCACAGAAGAAGAGTAAATTTTGTTGACGAACTTGTTGTGAATGACAGATGCATCAAAGGGAATGAAACTTTGAGAGAAGGGGCGAAAGAACACTTTCAGAAATTATGTTACAAAAAATATAACTATAGACCCAATCTTGACAATCTCCCATTCAACAGATTAAGTGATAGTGAAAGAGATTAGCTTGAAGGAAAATTCACTGAAGAGGAAATCTTGGACTGCCTTAAGGAATGTGATGGGGACAAAGTCCTAGGTTCGGATGGTTTCAACATCAAGTTCCTTCAATCTTTTTGGGATATCATCAGAGGTGACATATTAGAGCTATTCAATGATTTCCACAGCCACAACACCTTTGTAAAATCACTTAACTCCATTTTCCATGTCATGATCCCCAAAAGAGTTCAACCAAAGAATTATAATGATTTTCGACCTATAAGTTTCATCGGGTGTATTTATAAATTGTTATCTAAAGTTTTAACAAAAAGATTGTTCAAAGGTATTAAAAAATATCATTGGAAACTGTCAACACGCATTCATTCCTGGGAGACAGATTGCTGATGCCATTTTAATTGCTAATGAAGCAGTGGACGAATCCATTAGACACAACAAGAAAGGAATTTTGTGTAAACTTGACATGGAAGAGGTGTTTGATCATATTAACTGGAATTTCCTGGATTATATGCTTTTCAGACTTGGTTTTGGACCCAAATGGAGAAGTTGGATAAAAATATGTGTTTTCACTACTAGTTTTGTTGTGATCGTCAACGGTGGGCCCTCCACTTTTTTCAATGCCTCTAGAGGCCTACAACAAGGGGATCCCCTTTCCCCACTCTTATTCATTATTGTGATGGAGACACTGAATCAACTAATGAGAAAGCAAAATCATTGAACTTAATTAAAGAGATTACTGTAGGTAATAGAGATAACAAAATACAAATTTCCCATCTTTTCTTCGCTGATGATACATTGATTCTCTGTCAACTGGATTTCAGCTCCCTCATCTTCCTAAAATATATTCTACTAGGCTTTCAGGTTGTCTCCGGTTTAAACATAAATATCCAAAAATCTGAGATGGTTTTGTTGGGAAAGAGCTCCAGAAATGAAGACTTTAGTGTGGTTTTGGGCTGCAAGCAAACATTATTACCTATCACTTACCTTGGGGTTCCTCTTGGCACCAAGCACAATGACAGTAATTAATAGGAACCTATGATCGATTTGTTCAATAACAGATTATCTACTTGGAAGAAAAAATTTCTATCAAAAGGTGGTAGATTGACATTGATTAAAAGCACACTTTCCAATCTCCTGATCTACTTTTTATCGGTGCTTAATATACCAATTAAGGTGACAAAGAAACTAGAGCAGATCCAATGTAATTTTCTTTGGGGTGACAGTGAAAATTGCAAGAAATACCATTTAGTGAATTGGTTGAAGATAAAAAAAACCCTTAAAAGAAGGTGGCTTAGGACTAAGATCAATAATCAAACTAAACAAGACACTTCTTGGTAAATGGATTTGGAGATATTGGAATGAAATGACAGACTCTGGAAAATGGTGATAGACTTAAAATGGTATAACGACAATCCACAAAATCTCTCTTATACTAAAAACAATAACTATGGTTACAGTTTATGGAAGAACATCATCACACTAAACAGTGCGATATTCTAGTGCTCAAAATAGAATATTGGTAATGGATTCAATGTCTGTTTTTGGGAAGATATTTGGTGCGGTTTAGAAAAATTAAAAGACAAATATCCCCTTATTTATGGGATTGCTAGAAACAAAGCTAGCATGATAAATGATATAGTTGGTTCCATCATTCCTTGCCTCTTAGAGTGTCTCAGTGATGAAGAACCTTTAAGATTTTTAACGAGAACAATATCAGTTTTTACTTCACTTATTGGCAAACACACAGTTGCAAAATCAAAATGATAAACTGCATTGGTAATTAAAAAAGAATGACCTCTTCAGTGTCAGCTTTCTCTACTCTATTCTGGCTAGTCATAACTCTAATGAAAAATATCATTTTCCCTCAAAAATCATTTGGAAATCGGATGTTCCCCCAAGAATTGTTTTTTTTGCTTGGAAAACAGCAAAAAGGAAAATCCTTACAATGGATAATTTGATGAAAAGAAGGCATACTACTGTCAACAAGTGTGAGATCTCTTGAATCATGTAATCTTCTACTCTTGAAATGTCAAACATCTCACAAACTTTGGAGCATGATACTTGGGCTTCTGGGGATTTCTTGGGTAATTGCAGATTCTGTTTATTCCGAACATCTGGCACGGGAAGGTCTGAGTAGTAACAAAATATTTAGATTAATCCCTCCTATTATATTCTAGGTTATTTGAAAGGAGAGAAACAACAGAGGTTTTGAGGGGCTTGAACAAGATTTTAATAACATCAATGATAAATAGTCTCATTATTTTGGCTCTACTGTTTTAGACCATAATGTAAAATGTTTTGAACATCTGCGCTCTATTGTAAATATGCTAATTGACATGTAAAGTTTTTGTAAATGGGTGGTGCTCCCTTAGCATCTCACATTAATATATCTTTTCTTCTTTTATTTAAAAAAAAAAAATTCCATTCTACCTTGACTATAAGAACCAAGAAAGAGGAATTTAAGGATTTAACAAATTATCTCCAGAAAATATAACTCCTTAAATCTCTAGGATATCTTCCTTCATTACATGTCAAAACTTTTGGATGAAGCCCACATTGAAGCCATTAGGACTTGAAGCTTTGTCTTTACTACAGTACATGAGGCCTCATAGATCTCTTCTTCAGTGGACTTCCGTTTTGGTGATAGATGAGTCATTGTATCTAACATCCTAAATTTTAGACAGCCACCCACCTCTTCAGTGATCTTCTTTGTTTATTGTTTTCTTTAATCTGTATGTTTTCACATTTCTTCTTCTCCATCATTCTTTCTATTTCGTTAAATAGCTTCATTCCATGTTTCTCTAGCCCGTCAAATGTACCCGCAAGCGTACTGCCAGGGGTCCTTTTCTAAATAAGGTCTTTATGTTCCCACCTTGCACAGTTGCCCTCTGCTTGGAACTTCTTCCCTTTTTGAAGCTCAATTGAAAGGTTAGCGTGACAAGACAGATTTTTTCTTGGGAAAATATGTGTGGCAAGATCCTTACTAGCAATAGTTTCAGAAAACAGGGCAAGATGTTTATAAATGGGTGATATCTTTGCTATGGGATGGTCGAGTCTTTGAACCATTTTTCTTTGTGGTTCCTTTTTGCATTTAAACTTTCTGTCTGACACTTGTTATATCGTAGGTTTGGCTCGGGTGATGGCTAACTCAGTTATTGATGGGATTAGGTGCAACAAAGTATCTGTGGTGTTATACAAGGAAAAAACTTATTTTTCTTTTCCCTTTGGTTTCTTTGTGGGTTGTCTTCTTTGTGGGTTTATTTCGGAAAGAAAAAAGAAGTAGAAAAGCTTTTAAGCATATAGTTTTCTCTTTTGGTAGAGATGATGACTTGTTTGGTTCATTGCGTAGACTAGATATATGCGAGGAATATAATAGCGATTACATAATAGAAACTTCTATGTTTTTTGGCTAGTTGAATCAAATTTACCTCGTAATTGTAATTATTGAATAAGTTGTGATCTTGATTCATAAGTGGGGATCATGAATCAGGATTATTTGTTTGGTTCATTGCGTAGGCTAGATATATGCTAGGAATATAATAGTGATTACATGATAGAAACTTCTATGTTTTTTGGCTAGTTGAATCAAATTTACCTCGTAATTGTAATTATTGAATAAGTTAGGATCTTGATTCATAAGTGGGGATCATGAATCAGGATTACTTGTTTGGTTCATTGCGTAGACCAGATATATGCTAGGAATATAATAGTGATTACGTGATAGAAACTTCTATGTTTTTTGGCTAGTTGAATCAAATTTACCTCGTAAGGGTAATTATTGAGTAAGTTGTGATCTTGATTCATAAGTGGGGATCATGAATCAGGATTACAGTCTTATATAGCCACTTCTTTTACTTTCAAGACCATTCTACCTTTATTTGTTGATCTGAGTTTTAAATCAATCGATATTTTAATTATTTAAAATTAAATGCATTTGGAGAATTCTAGTTGCGATATTGTTTTATATGGGAAAATTTCTAATTAATTTTGTACTTTTTTAAACCCAAGTATAAATTTAAAAAACTCAATATTTTTTTTGAAATAAAGGTAGGAGAAATATATTAAAAGTAAAGCGCCAAGGGGGCCCAATCCATGTACAAAGGCAAAGAGAAGAATTTACAGATCTGTAATAATATCAACATGGATCCCAAATCCTCTAAACTATCTAGGTTGTGGCCAAGAATAGTAGAACCAAAAAAATGTAGCCATCTATCCTTGATAGTATCAAAATCAATAAATCTGTCTTCAAAAACTCTTTTGTTCTTTTCATTCTAGATCACCCAGATAATAAATAGAGGGATAAATTTGTAACATTTGTGTTTCGTATTAATTCTTTCCCAAGCTAGAAGCTCTTGAGAAACAGTCCCAGCAATAACCCATTGAATGCCAAGAAAGTTGTAAATCATATTCAATGAGTAAGATGCTTTGGAATAACTAAATGAAATTCTGGTAATTTTATGAAGTTAAAAAGTAATATGAAATTAAAACTAAAATAAAAATACAATATGTATGATTTTGTTAATATATGAATATATAGATGTATATATACATTTTTAAAGAAATCCTGTAAGGAGGGATGTTATAGTGATTTTCTGCTTATAATTTATTCCAAACTCAAATATGATTGAAGCAAACCTTGTAATGAAGTTGTAGTGAACTATTATTTATTGCGAACCAAAGATCATACTCTAATTACAATTCTATTACAGTATACTATTTTACTCCTGTTGAATAGCTAGTGTTTTTCTGGCTTTGTTCTCTTGCACGAGCAAAAGGTGCTGTTATTGGGTTCAGGACCTTCTTCATCTTATTGACTTGCCCACTGGGCTATAGATATTTTTTTTCATTTATTGGTGGAACCTCCTTGGTGCCTTGTTGATAGTAATTACTTTTTCTCTGTAAATAGAAGTAGAATATTTTAGACATGAGATGATCCTAAAATGTCACATGCAAGTTGTAGGTGAAATTTTGGTACTAGCTTTTTTAACAAACTTAATTAGTGTGGCCGTATCTTTGTACTGTAACAGTGTGCATTCTATTCTGGGTTTGGTATATAACTCATGAAAGTACTACTCACAAATTCTTTGGACTTGTGATTAGGTCTTTCTGATCATGATAATTACCATGAATATTGTCGTCTTCTTGGGCGTTTCCGTGTGAACTATCAGGTAATTTTACTGCATAAAATTTGAGGTAAGATTCATTTGATCTTTCAAGTTGCATTTCACATATAGCCATAGGCATCGCTTGGAAATTGTTTTTCTTGTGTATCTTTGGCGAGTGCATATTGACAAGTCTATTTATTTTTGATAGATATATGTCATCCTTTGCTAGTAGTTGAAAAAGATTCTCTATTTTATTTTGTGTAAGACTTACATTTTTCCATATGGTTGTCCATATCAGCAATAAAACTGTAAAATCCAGTCAGTTTCTGTTTTAGAACATAGTTTTATAGCTCGCATACCAATATGCTGTAGCATATCAAAATTTTGTTTGTTATAGATGGCTAAGTCTAACTTTTTATGATGGCATAGCAGCAAAATGATGGTAATCATAATGGTATTGCTAAAGCTACTCATGCTTGATTATACAAGATTCCATGTTTGTGTGAATTTCTTCGATGTCTTCTCTTGTTGGGATAACCATAAATCCAGTCACTGGTTTGTGCTTGTATGTGTCTGCTTCAATTTTTGAATTTAGGAGTTGAAGGACTTGCAAAGTCCTTTCGCGCATGTGATTGTTCTCTTTATGACCGTTGTGTGTGTTGATGGAACTAAAATTTGTCACTGCCTGCTCTTTTCTACTGCACCCTTAAAATATCTGGATATGGTAAGAAAATTATGTTATTATTGCAGCATTTATGCTATTTATACTTTTTATCTAGAAAAAGATTATTGCAGCAGTGTACATATTTCTTTTTATCCTTATTGGAATTAGTGATCTCAGTTTACAGCAATTAGATGAAATCCTTGGTTTATAAACTTGTGATTATGTTGCAGTTATCAGAGCTGGTGAATGTTGAAGGCTATAGTGATTGGATACAATTGGTGGCAGAGTTCACGCTAAAATCTTTGCAATCTTGGCAGGTTGTTTTTGGTTCTAACTTGCAAATTTCTCAATGGTGTTGCTAACTTGTCTAGAAATAATCTGAAAGAAGGTTCCCGAAACTAACTTGTAACACCCTTGTATATCAAATTATTATTTGAAAAACTGTTAAATATTCAGATATGGAAATACTGAATTTGTATCTTTTTATCAGTGGGCTAGCAGCAGTGTATACTACCTTCTAGGACTGTGGTCCAGATTGGTGACATCTGTTCCATACTTGAAGGGTGACGCACCAAGTTTGCTTGATGAATTTGTTCCTAAGATCACAGAAGGTTTCATCACATCTAGGTTCAACTCCGTGCAGGTATATATATTTTACATGTTCCAAAATAAAAGAAACAAATGGATGTTACATGTTTTAGTTTTTTTTTTTTTTTTTTTTTTTTGAGAAGCTAAATTTTCATTCTGATACTTTTAAGAGTTTGCCTTAACATTTTGCTCTGACTTGGCATTATACAGGCTGGGTTCCCAGATGATCTTTCTGAGAATCTGTTAGACAATGTTGAATTGTTACAGGACCAGTTAGATTGCTTTCCATACCTTTGCAGATTCCAGGTTTAATTGCTTTATTTAATTTCTGCTTCTCACACTTTGCAGCTCGAAGATATTCGAGGAATCTAGGATAAAAAATAAAAATTCTTATTTGAGTTTGGCATGCAGTCTCATTATTTTCGTTAAGTTGTATTTTCCTCCTGGCTTAGTTTGTTTCAATTGATGCAGTATGAACGTTGTGGTCTATATATAATAAACATAATGGAGCCGATTCTGCAATCCTACACGGTAAAGCACTTGTCAGTACAACCTCTTTTATATTACTTTTCATTTTTAAGTTTGTAGAGTCTACATAATTGTTTGTACTACTTCTGTTATTGGTTTATGCAGGAAAGAGCACGAGTGCCCACCAACGATAAAACTGAACTTTCTGTTATTGAAGCAAAACTATCTTGGATTGTACATATTATTGCTGCTATTCTCAAAATAAAACAATGCAGTGGTTGTAGGTAAATGTTCTTTTTACCCAAATTGTGTGCTTTCTTTGCATTTGTAAGGAATAATTAAGAATGTTTTCTTTTAGTAATTATTAATTTATTTTGCAGTGTGGAGTCGCAGGAAGTGCTTGATGCAGAACTTTCTGCTCGTGTTTTACAGTTAATTAATGTAACAGATAATGGGCTACACAGCCAGGTATACCAATAGGCATGATTTATTTTTCAATGTTGGACTCTATTCTGCACCTTTAACATTAGCTATTCATTTTAGACTTTATTTATAGTTCTCTTTCCAATACCAACTACCATTCCTATCCTACTTGAGACCTATTAGATCTTTGTGGTTTTAGTAGTAGTGCATGGGGGTAAGGAATCCCAAATTTTCTGCTTAAGGATAATTTGTTCTAGAGTTGAGGGTTGCAAACTTACAGCAACTTCTATTCCGGTGTTCATAATGGTCTGTGTTAGCTCGGGTTAGTGATTGTATGTATATATTGGTCACTTTCCTATTAGCTAGGTTAAATGGTATCATAACATGGTACGGCAGTTGGAAGTTCTTGTAGATGTAAATGCATAACCCTGCCATCTTTGAGAGTAGCAAACAGTCAGCTTCCTTTTCCTCAAGGCAGACATTTAAAAAAATTTCTTTCAATGGCCAGAAGTCTTTTCAAAGAGGTTGTTTAGAACAAGAAAAGTCCTGATTAGAGAAATTTGGCCAAGGTGCTTGAAAAGATCTATGCACAAAGGATTTTCTCTCTCAAAGGCTCTCACTTCAAGAAATATGTACAAACTAATTTTTTTCAATGAAAGAATGAAATTAATCCTGACATTTTGTTCTCACACAAAGAATATTCTTTTTTGAAGAACCTCTCAGGTCAAGAAATATGTACAAACCATTTTTTCTTTTCATGAGACGATAAAAGTAATCGTGACACTTTGTTCAACTTACGTGCTCTCTCTCTCTCTCTCTCTCTCTCACACACACACGCACACACAAACACACACACACGCACACACAAACACACACACACGCACAGTCCATATGTGGCCACAAGCCAAGATGGCCGACAAAAGGGCCAGGCTGCAATCAGGCTATCGTCATGTGGCTGTTTGCTCATGCACTGAGTCAAGAGTCAATTGGCTTGTGACATTGCAACTAGAGTCTCAGTTTGGATCTTGCTATTCATAACCTGGTCAGTTGCATCTTCGTGTGTAAAAAAGCTGTCTGTATAATTGTTGGCAGAACAAGAACATTTTGGTTCTGGGTTTTTAAATAATGGTTTTTTTATGTTCTCTTTAGAAGGTATTACGAAATGCCTTCAGATAGATCTGACGAGTCTTTGCTCTTTAAATAATAAAGCATCTTTTTTTAGCCATTTCTGAAGTGACTCCTTTTCAGAGGTATGGTGAACTAAGCAAGCAAAGGCTTGAGCGAGCAATTCTCACATTTTTTCAGCATTTCCGGAAGTCTTACGTTGGTGATCAGGCCATGCATTCATCTAAAGTAAATAGCTTTCTTTTTATTTCCTTTGTAACCATTCTTAGTTTTAACAAACACCTTGATGTTTTCACTTTCTGTTGCAGCAGCTATATGCACGATTGTCTGAACTTCTTGGTCTTCATGATCACCTATTAATATTGAATCTAATTGTTGGGAAGATTGCCACAAATTTAAAGTGCTATACCGAGGTAATTATTTTATTCTTGTTTTGTGTTTTACTTATATGATTGATAAATTACAAAGTTAAAATGCTTATTCATAGCGAGGAGGTCGTTGATCACACATTAAGTTTGTTCTTGGAACTGGCATCGGGGTAAATTTTTCTACCTCACCTAAAATTTAAGCTGCTTGTTGATTCTTTCAATCAAAACAGTGTTCTTCACCCTCCCCCCTCCAAACTGTTGATTGTTTTTTCTTTCTGGGCAGATATATGACTGGGAAGCTGCTTCTAAAGCTCGATACTGTGAAATTTATTGTTGCGAATCACACTGTAATTCTGGCTCCTGCTTACCTTTTGGTGGTTTATTCTTCATGATTGTTTTTTATTGGGAATTATTTCAGATGCATTATTTTATTGATTCTTGGAGTTCTTATCTTTTTCAGAGGGAGCACTTTCCTTTCTTATAAGAATATAGATGCTCTCGCAGCAGAACAACTTTCTATTACACTATCGGCTGGATAATCTTTATGGAGGCAGCCCTGTGAAGTTCAAGTCCTCAATGGAACCGCTTTTGGCAGGCACATAAACACTCTCTTTCTCTAAGTTTATTTGCTTTCAGAACCTTTACCTGATCTTTTCAGGATCAAAAGAAAATTATATTGCCATGCCTGTGAGATAAATCGCTGATATTATGTACCAAAGGCATAAGCCTAGTTGGGTACCAAAAGAGATAAAACAAGTCTGCCACTAGAAGCATAATCAGTTTTTTGTTTTTAATTAAGTTATCACTAAAAGTTGGAAATCCTTTTAAGATATGACGTATATCATATTAGCTGAATAATAATTTTTGTTGAATATATTTATTAATGTAATAATTTAGTAATTTATTAATTCAATAATTTTAAAATTAAAATATAACTAATTTATTATTAAATAGTTTTTAAATAATTTTATTTTAAAAATTAAGTAATGATAAATTGTAACATAGGTAATAAAAAATAATGTCACACTTTATACTGAAGACTTTTTTGCAGTAAATTTTACCAAACAATACTGTTTTTCTGTTTTTTTTTCTTTCTGTTAGAAGTCATTTTCACATGACTTTTTAGCGATTCACACATGATCACCAATTGGTGGGCCAAATGGGTCCTCAGTGGCACATATTAACAGACACCATAATAGAATATTTTTAGGGCCAATAGATACAGAGCTTCTTGCTTTTTCTTGGCAATAGATTCCATCATTATCAAGTCATTACTGTAAATGCAAATGTTACATAAATTTCATCCTCTTTAGGTCTTTCGTAGTTTGGAGTCAACACCTGATTCGCTATTCCGCTCTGATGCTGTAAAGTATGCATTAATTGGATTAATGAGGGATCTCAGAGGAATTACCATGGCCACAAACAGGTAAGTATGTAGATATGTGGTAGTCCTTTTATTTATATGTTCATGGTTGGATAACTACAGCAGTATGTAGAATATCTTTCTGTGTGAATGCACAAGATATGTCTGTCAAATGTCTACTAGTTTTTAATAGTTGACTTCTTTCTTCTAAATGTCTTGCAGTCGCAGAACATACAGTCTTTTGTTTGATTGGCTATATCCTGCACAGATGCCACTTCTCTTGAAGGGCATCTCACACTGGACCGACACACCAGAGGTATGTGGAATATTGCTTTGTCATTATTATTATTTTCTTAGCTTAAAGATCATTAATTTTGAATTTTGATGCTTTATAGTCTTATTGCCAGCTGTCCTACGAGATATATAATGCATCTGATACATTGCTTTTTTGGTCATAGCCTCTTCCCATTATGTGATCTTGCTCTAACTGAAAGACTGATAGAAATCATCGCTGATTATTCTCATGGTTTCTTGCTTTTTTT